AACCGCATTCCATTCTGTGGACTTTTTGGTAATTCGGGTACAGCAGCACCAGTAAATGAGTTTTCACGGCGAAAGCCCACGTCAGAAGGTAATGGATGCGAACAATAGGAGAAAGAAGAGTCCAACGAAGTCAGAGGGGAGTTCACATAACTGGTTGATTTCGCTTTTACTGTCAAAGGTCCGCGTAGAGGATAGGATAAATATTTTGCTTCGCCCGAGGACCCTCTGTCAACTACACTGTGAAGCGGTACGGGCGGTCGTTGTCTTCTGGATAACTTCGTGTCAGATGGGATATCACTCATCTGGGAATGAACACTTCCGTTTTCGACTGGTGAAACCCTAGGGTTCTCATTAGGAAATCCTTCATCATGTAGCGTGTCATAGTTCATACTAGCTTTAGGCATTTTCGTAAAAGATGCACTGTTAGTCGAACCACATTTATACAATTTAGATTAGAAGCCATGAAAGAATGGATGGCTCCATTAGAGTTGGGTGAACTGTGAATAGTCTTGCGACGCCCTTACTACTTGGAAGGGCTGGGAAGGAAGAACATGGACGGACCAGATGAAATGCTCAGCTACTGATTGGTCAGAGCTTTGACCGTAAGTGATAGACGAATAGGATAGTTCATCAGGAAATGCTACTCTAAATACGTGTCCGCCCACACTCTTGTCCACACCTACCATGCAATTCCATTGGAGCCTCTGCCACAATAGCAGACAAAAGTTTGGCTAGTAATGTTTTGTGCTGACTCAGAAACGTTTGGTTTGTCCTAGATGATAATGGCTGACTAATATCAATAGGGTTAAAACATGAGTACTCTACCTTTATACATAAACCCTTGTGATCAAACTCATACTCAGAACCAAAAGGTGGTATAGCTCGTTCGTTTAGTCTACTCTAAACAATGGATTCGGTTTGTTCCACATTGGGTTTTCACCGTGAAGTTTATATTACGCCATATCTCTACATAGTCCCAGTTACAGCAAACGGATGGGTACTTGCCTCCCTAGACGTTCTTACGTTAAATCCGATTGACGTAGGATAGCTCAACTAAACACCACACTGGAAGCCCTTTCACATTTTCATCCACCCGTGAACCTCTGCAAATTACAATTTGCTCTCTTTTGAAGACCAAAGGTTATCCGCTTATAGTTAAAGTGAACTCTTACGTACACGGCAGTATATACTACCGCATGATGATTCACCTCACAATGACCGGGTCACGTACCAGGCTGCACAATGAGTCTGTCGGATCAACATCCGTGAGTGAAAAACAATGGGGCAAAATAGACAAAGACCTTTACAGCTCTATCTACTTTTCATTCTAGGATGACCAGGCCCCTCCACTTTCCAACAAGTACAACAGAACAAGGATTCATTAATATTCCGGAAGTATGTTCGTCTCAGACTGCTTCAGAGTTTACCGTTTGGGATTAACCAGCAAGAAAACGGTAAGAAAACCTGTTCGAAACTCGTGCTTTTGAGAGTACTGTTTTATCAATAGCTTCCCTTGGAGTGGTAAACTGTGCCACGTGGTCACATATGAATGCATAACTCCGCGTGCACCACACATAGCATGGCTGGATACTGCAGTTCACACAGTACTATGTAGGCACGTACAAACAACAACTATCGAGAGTGCAGGCTGTAAATGGCACATGTGCATGCCTCTACGGAACCACGATTGGTTCGCCGCAACGGATCAAAGGTCGGTATAAGCTTATCATCAATTTTTGCGGATTAATCAAAAGTTAAAACTGATATCTTTCTGAAGGATCAACAATATTTTGAAACCACAATGTTTCATAAGGCTATTTTTCAATCCCGAGATTTAAGTCACGGACTTAATCCATTCTCCATCTGTGGTGGCGAAGGTAGTCAGACACAAGCCACGAACAGTTGACAAAAATCCAAGGCGTTCTCGCTATTTGCAAAACTGGAACAAGGACGGATGTCAGCGGTTAACTGAATAATGGTAGATACAGGTTTAGACCACTTTCTAAATCATCGACTAAACGTTCCCTTTACTTTTAACGACTTGAAGATATTTACCTGTGTCCTTCAAAAGGGAATTTTCTGGCCGCTTTTACCCAGAAGGCCCAAGTTGACCGCGCAAAATCGAAAATTGGTTCAAAGCGACAGGTCGACTGAATGCTACAATCTAGTTCTAATTAAAAGCTAAATCATCGGGTGCAAAAGTAAATGGTTGACAATTCGGACGAAACTGACATGAGATTAAAGACATTACCAGTGGTTTGTAACTACCTTTATCTTTCCGGTTGAGGGGAGCTCTTTACTCAGTTTCCCAAATACCTTTCTCGTCTGTTCATGAAAAACATTCTCAGTGGGAAAACGGCACTTCCGCTATGTTGTGCCTTGAAGCCCGTTCAGCGCAAACAGTAGGTTGATCAGAGAGGCCAGTGTAGATATTTTGTTGTCCCCGTTCGTAGGGGACGTTGGTTATTTCGGCACACTTGAGTGAGCCACGCACACTTAGATTGTGTGCGCTTGTGCATTAACCATGTGGAGTTTAGGTAAGCCATTAATTTTCTTGTGATCAGCAAGAAACCCTATTTTTGCAGATTTTTTATCAATCAGGCAATCATAGTCAACGAGATAGCACCCTGGGGGAAAGAACTTTTGCAGACTACAATATTTGGTTACAGGACTTTGCCTGAAAGCAAATTTGTTGCAATATCAGTGCCGTAGAAAATGGGATACTCTGATTTAAGAATGGTAATTCTGGAGTGAAGTGGTTCTGGCTGTGCCGGCCCTGGTACACCCAACAGCAAGATGTTTTCCGACAGCCTTTTGTGCAGAGCAGCGGTGTGTTGGTGTTATATTGGGGGAATCGACTGGAACCAACGAAGCCCGAAAACTCTCAAAGATTAAGAAATGGTTCGTGACTCTGAAGCTCAGGTTTCGGAACCAATAGTACATTTTCAGCCGTTGCTGTCTAGGCATCTGTGACCTGCAGGGATCTTGTCTTGCTATTTCTATTGGTTTAATTCTAACCATGTATCAAAAAATCCACTGCAATCAAAATTCTTTCGGAAAAAACGAAAGGGAGCGTCCTCAGGTGCTTCAAAAGGGTCACAACAGATCAGTCATATTATGACTGATTTGGCCCATTACCAACACGATAAGGACCAGGAATCTCACAGTTACGACAACCAGCGGACGATCCATCTGAACAACACACAAGATTGTCCCATGCAGACATCGCTTTTACATAAATCTCCTGGAATCGCATAAAAATTAGGGCTGCAAGCAAACCCAGCTAATAAAACAGACCTTACATACTATGCAGAAGCGCGTCGACCTGCGACGCCATCTGGAAAAGGAGGATCATAATTAAGAAACCGGCCGGGATGTTTCTCCAATCTGTCACACACACTTCACACAAGCAATATAGCACCACCAACAATGACTTGATTTCCAGCAGGAGAAAACCACAGTACTCAAAGTAGTAGAAGCCCTTAATAGTCAGGTTAGATCACCACATCCACCATCAGCTGAGATAACAGTAGAACCTATGTAAACATGAATAAGTGGAATCACTAAACTTCTACCCCGAAGGCTAGCATCGCTTGTCGCATATAGTTTCGAAATGTTCAAGTGAATGCCGAAAACAAATCAGCACTTGAAACACGCAGTCTGGTTTTTCAGGCCTCAAAAAGCTTCGCGTCTCGGTTGATGAACAGCCACGCCTGCGCGATGCTAGTTTTTGGTTGCAGACAGACCAGAGATTCAGTCGAGTCTCCCGTAAAAACAAAATTTATACGTAAATGGGTGTATTTGTAAAAATTAGTCCATCTGGGTCAAAGAAGAACATAAGATTGACGGAAACTCGGTGACAGCCTCTACCTGATAAGCCCAAAGAAGGTCATAAGCGATCGTGGACTGTCGAGCTTTTATGAAAATATACTGCGACAGCTCGAACATCGTACCAAGTGAAACATGAGGCGGCCTTGGTGCAGAACGTTCAACTGAAGACTACCATAAACGAGAGATTCAGTTGAGTCTCCAGTAGGAAACAAAGTGATATAAATGACTGTATTTGTCGAGACTTACGTTAAATTTTGGGAAGGTAGACGGCATCTAGAATTGATTTGGTAAGAATCAGCTTACGCAGTTAAACGTGACAGCAAACGACCTATGAAAGAACGTGCGCGAAGCGTAGCTCATAGTGATTTTTCGTGTGACTTTGTACGTGCGTGAACCCTTGAACCTGTACTGTACAGCATATGCGCAACTTATGCAGAGCGATATCGTTCAACAACACTCCTCACCGTTTGACTCAACCCAGCTGTTGATGTAGGAGTGTAGGCGATGAGGCGGAGGCCGTTTGCGTTATGGCACTTTCGTTCGGGTAGGATTACGCCATGAGCGCAGTGCACGGGGCGCCGTTAGTCGAACGAAATCAATATTGTATTGAACAGGAAGTGGTCCTTTTGAGGACGCTCACACATAACGTGTTGTGTAGAAATCAGCGCATGCAATTACAGTTTGTCAGTCATGAAAAAAATACCAATACGAATAGGGGTTTTGGAGAAGTTTATAAGAAATTCGCTTGAACCCAGTGTAAGACGAGTGATGGCCGAAGCTTGATTTCCCAGGCGGTTTTGGTCAAGTAAGGAGCCTTAAAATACCGTCTACCATTTGATTTCATATGATATCCGGCAAAATCTTCGTTAGTGGGTGCACAGTTTTTAATTAACCCATCTGTCATTTGCATACCGCGTCACCATTCCATGTTCACATGGGATGATCTACAGAAAACTCTGAATTGAATGGTATCACTTGCTTAGGCGAAGCTGAGTTCCGAGTAGTTGTTGGAGTTATTCGTACAAGCAAAGAACATCAAAATGGATTCGTGAACCAAGGTCAAACTCGTTCGCTTGGATTGAATGTGAAATGTACGAACCAATGTTCCGGTAACTGTGTGCAACAAAATCATTTCATTGAGTTCCAAGAATTCTATCAGAAAAAACGTCAGAAGCTAACTTATAAATTTAAAAAAATTATAGCTACATGAAAAAAATGGCAATAAAATTACAATACCACTCGGCTGTAAACATGCTGATCAATCAAGTGAAGTGCCCTTCGCGGAGAGACGGGTATGGCAAATTGTTCGATACATGTATTGTGATAGACACCATCCACGTACGTCCTTATCTTTCTTGAACTTCATAACAACAGGAAACATCAATAGACAATTGCGTATCTATCCAGCGAACTACAGCTAAGTTGTTAGGGCGTCAGCCACTGCCTGGAAGTTCGGTAATTTGATCTCTTCCAGCTAGAATCAGGAAACCTGGCGGTAACTCCAACTTGGTCCAACAGGAATGTAACGCACCAGCTGTTTCTTCCGGGTTTCAGTTTCTCACCACGAGAGTTTCTTCAATCAGCTATCCCAGTGGTACTCATGGCACAATGCGCTTTCTTATGGCCGAAATCACCTCCGACCATTCATTGACTTTCATCTGGGCTTGAGTAACCTCAATCTTTTGTCGGGTTAAGCAGAAGCTCTACACCGGCTAAGTTCAAAAATTAGGAAGCTTGAGAAGAGAAACACGCAACACACCTGCGAATAATTTAAATATGCACTCGGTGCTCCCAAGCTAAAATCAAACCCATCAAGAAAAATCATCCTTTAGGCGCATTAGTGTCACGAAAAGGGTGGGAAGTACGATGGCCCGTGTACAACCGGATTGTCTAGGACTACGAAAATAAGAATGATCGTTCAGCTGTAACACGCTTTCAGTGGATGCCATCCATGTCACCCAGAGGGACGAAAGCTGAGATACTGACAGGCTTCTCAAGCCTAGACAGGAGCAGTCGAGAGGCACAGATTTGATTTGAATCACAGACCTTCCGGTCAGTAAATTTGCGCTTTACTCACTGAGCCATATCAAGCTCTATTGGTAGTGAAGAAACCGAAGACGGAGTTGAAGTCGCCTATAAGCACCGTACCCTCTGACGTAAATCTAATCTCCGGAATTAAGATAGACTTAGTATAGAGCTGGGAAACAGAATACAAGGGAACTGGCTACCACGTGAAGAAGGATTATATACATATATATTTATATATATGCGTATATGTTCTCCCTATATGAAGAGTTTCACACTCACCTTATTTGCCCGAAAGGGTTTCTCGTGGACAGATGGGATATTGACCAGTCGTGTGTGTCTGGTGGACATGGTTACGAAAGTCATATTAATGTCTCAGCCATCGATATGACGGAATCCTGCGAACATTTATCAGCCTCTTCAAAACATTGTCGCATGATCATCTGGGGAGATGTTTTCGCACGTAGATGTGATAAACCCGTCAGTGCTGAACAGTAAACGGACCTTATGAACAACACTTTGGTCACGTGGCTGAATGGAGATTAAGTACGCAGTTGTGCGCCACTGGGTTTCAATGTATGGTTCTGTGCACCAACCCGAGCCTGGATTATGTTGAGCAACGCACAGTGCATGAAATCGATAAATTCATGCAGACCATGAGCAAGCACACAACATGCAAATCAGCAAGTGTAGTTGGCTAGAGTGTCTCAAGAAAGCTTGCTTTGAACGCACACGTTTAACTGCATAATCGGATGACTACAATGTCAGCGTTGTTGGGGGGTTCGCATCACAGTCTAAATCTAATCGCACGTAGTGACACAGAGATGTCTACGCAGATTAGGTTCTTAATTCCAAGTAGAAGAGTTCATTCATGTAATGAATCTTCCAAAACAGTGGCTGAACAGGACTGTCAATGCGTGATGTTAAATGAGTTAAGGTGCAAAAAATGTTCACCGAAATACAAAATGGATTGAGCATTCAGAGAAGTTAGACTGAGAGACTCGTCTTGGCAGTCAACAGCCAAATTGTAGTGATATTTGCGGAGCTACGGTAGGAATCATACTGGATCAGTGGAAAACTCAGAAGTTGAGGGAGGATAAATGTCCAGTATTCGAAAACAATTTTCAAGAAAAGTGCAAGCCCTGTGGTGCAAAATTTCTTGTGGACTGACATTCCGATCATAGATCAACGGTACCGCCTACGATATCAGGTACAGACATTACACAAGAAAGACTTCATAACAAATATCAAATAGCTTATTTCACGTGGGAGTGGCCTGTTGATGTAGGCAGTCATGTAGGGTCATGTAGGGTCAAAAGGTAAAGAATGGTCTTGAAATTCAAGGAGAAAATAACAGCTAATATAACATTAATAATGATAACACGTAATAAAGCCTGGAACGAGTTGAGAGTGTAAGGAAGATCAATGGGTTACCAACGGGCTAAGGCGAGATTAGCTCCACGAAATATCTCAATGCACACAAATGGCGGTTAACTGCGTTGACGACAATAGCTTACATGATCGAGAGATCATGCTTGGGATTAAAAATATCACTAAACGTACGAGATGATCTATGACGTGGTCAGTGTCCAAAGATTTCATTTTCTGACCAACCAAACTCAGACCTTTGTAGCGGTTTGACGATGTGCTTACTTATCAGTGTTACAAGCATCATGTCAGACAGTACACTCGCTGTGCACTGTGATCAGCTGAGTGACCTCCAACTCCTTTTATCTGAATGTTGTGTGAAATCGTTTCTGGTCTAAGCCTGAGGATATTGTGTTGACCAGGATGCCCCTCAAGTTCGAAAACATTCCTTTTCTCAGTAGACTTTCCCCATCTGTGCCGTTCCGTCTCCTTTGCTTCATTAGCTAGGTCTGCTCCTTTATTTTTCGCTAAACTTCGGCTAAAGAGATGCTCTGAACGTCTGTTTCCTCAACTGCTGCATCTATAGAACTATAGTGATTCTCCGAGACGAAAAAAGGCACTAACAGAGACCGACAAACCAATTCCCTTACGCTTACGGTGCGAAACACTCCCAATGCAGAGCTTCCACAAAGTTCATGATACTCTTAACAAAACTCACAGAGTTTCAACAAAGCGCTCAATCAAGCAGACATTACACTTTCCGGCGAACGTGCCAATGCACAGACACATTAAAACGTTGCGCGTTTGCACGGTGATACAATCACTCAGTTGTTCGTAATCATAGTGAGACTACCGGTCAATTCATGCAAATGATTTATTACTTCACCCCAACCACGCACCACAGATTTTGATCATTAGCTAGCTTACTGTCAGCCTTGAAATCCTCCGACACGCAGACGAAACACAAGGACACAGGAATAAGTCAAACTGGCAGAATGCTAATTTTTCGACACCTCGGATAGATGAGCTCTTAAAAGGTGAGAGTTTCCTATTATCTTTTTGAATTTTGTGATGGTCACTCTTCTGGATGCTACACGGTGATTTATTAGAGCACGGGATAACGCTTCAAAAACGGCCATTCAGCCACGTTCTTCAGTGTACCGTTGGAGATGACTAATTCACTAGGAAAGCCGTGATTTCAACCGCAAATGCACATTTCGAAACAAGAGTATCTGTGCTGAGCCCTCACCAAAGCCAAATAGCGTTCGACCGGAAACAGCTACCAAAGCGTCCACATCGGATTTTACTGGGCTCCCAAATAAACTAAGAACAGAACGCGGAAACACGGTGAATCTGGAAGATACTATGTTGTATACGACAGAAATTCGAACCTTCTTTCTGGTACAACAAACAGTTGGAGGGAATGCCCGATTTCTCTGGATGCCAAGCATCCCAGTTTTCCTAAACTGTGAAATATCGGGCGCCAATAACGTAAAGGTTACTGGGAAGTTCTAAGAATAAACTAGCTCATCAATATTAGGAAAGGGTATCTCACAGGCGAGACTAAATTCAGAAGAAATAGCAGGCTATCGGTGAAGTAAAATTGGATGAATTAACACAAGTCACTCTAACTAACGAATTATATTAACCGTGGAAGCTGAATTGAAGTTTCACATCATGGTTGGACGCACTTGGAACCGTGGAAGGCAACGGTAACAAACAAGGAGATTCACATTGTGATTCACAGACACATCCTAGCTCGCATCTAGGCGTGCGACGAATAAACCCTGGTCACTTTAAAAAAAGCCCGGAGACCCGACCCACCTAATCGCCCACGGATGTTATCTCCTCGAACGGTGACGAGACGTCTGCAAGCTGATTGCCAGGTCAGCGATCATCAGATCAAATACCAATCCGGAGAGTAGGAGTGCGCATTAGAAGATCACATTGAAAGAAATAAATCACCAGTCCGACAGATCTAAATGGCGGAATAGGCTACCGGAAGTGCCAAGTAGATGAAAAATACAAGAAAGTGAGATATAACTAGGTCCTACGAATCAAGTAGAAAAATATAACTGAGGTACTGCTTCAATAAGCTTCAACTCAAGGATTTATCCAAAATATAGTCAGTTGAGAAACGCAAAAACTTATCCCATGACCCAATCGTTTGAACTACAATGCATGTTAGAGGTCCCGCCATGCAATTCAGCCAACAGACGTGTTTTCTGACAAAGAATGTCTCCAAATCAGTAAGCAAGAATAGAGCATAGGCCGTTGGTCGGATGCAACCAGAAACAGGGGAGATAAGTTGTACAGACTGATGACAATAGAAAAACCGAATAGTAAGCTAGGTTGACAATTTAAAACTGTGTATTACTCACAAAGTTACATGAAACAAATCAACCCAAAACTACTGATTTTTCCGTCTGTGTGGGAGTTGAACCCGGAACCTATGCAAAAGATTTTGTTACCGCGGTTCCTTCACGGTAAGAAGTTTGGTGGCGAATTTTTCACGTTACGTCACCCCTGGCCTTCCATTTTGACCAATCAAAAAACATCAGAGGATATTTCTTATAGCTGAACGCGTGTAGCTACCAAAATTGTGTGAAACTAATGATGATAGTACGCGAAATCTTTTCGGAGTTAACCTGGTGTCAAAGCAACACTCAAATGAATACCAGCTGAATCTCCCGCCGATAAAAGTTTGATGGAAATCCGGGTAGCGCTAATAAGGATGGAACCGGCAGATACCACTCTGTACGTAGTGTCGAGTCAAGAATACGCAATCTTGTCACGTCGACTGTCCGAGGAAAAAAACGGCCTGAGCCAATTTTACGCGCTTGGTTCTCGCTACTGTAATTTTGTAAGTAGTCCGAGTTATTCCCACTACTGAGGTCACCAGGTGACCATCCGATCCCGCAAGGCGAACTTTCAAAGTAAATACCTGAAACCAACACCGAAATGTATAAGTATGCTGCTGGAAACAAACTGCTGAGAGGTTGAAAGATTGGGCTATTAGACTGCAAACGTCTCATCACCAATCAAAGTGATATCATTAGTGCGTTTTCAGGGAGCGAAGTGGAGCATAACGATCTACTGTATCGGCGAGCAGTTTAATTTTAGATAAAAAACGCTCACGCCTACCTAAGTACCTACAGAAGTGTACATAATAGACCTAAACTGACACTCCGAATATGTTTTAGCGAATCGTATAAAGTTTGAGGTTGGTCTAAACCCACCCGTTTAACAATAAACTTCCCGTTACAGTGTGCTTTTTCTCTGGTGTCGACGAGCCCGGTGTAACGGAATGCGTAAGGAAAAATTAGTTGTCAGAGGGAGCAAGAAGATCGTCATGCTGCTTTATTCTTCACCCCATAGTGGTCACTTATTATCGACTCGTACGATGTTCACATCAGAATGGAATTTCTTAAGGGTCAATGCTATTGGCCTGGTTGTGTGATCGAAAAATCAATCAGACGGTCGCCATCACGTGTGCATTCCAAGTGGCAACGAGAAGTCATCTGTCGTCTGTCAAAGCATGAGGTATTCAAATGATAGACACGAGTTATTTAGATTAAATTTTTAAATGTCTGAGAATTCCAAGTGCAGCTCCACGTCACTTGATGGTAGTTCCCTCAGCTTCCTTCCCATACTCTGTGTTAAATTCTTGGGTCGCATTGAGTCAAGGGTTGACCAACGGACACTGGCATTCCGGGCATTCTGCATTATTTGTGTACGGTAGATTGCTTAGTATGGTGTGTAATGTAGAACTGTTAAAAAAATTCAGGGATTAGGCTCATAATGGAAACAATTTAGGTGATGGTGTGATAATGACTGCATCAAGCTTCTTTCTAAAGATTAGACTGTCAGATGGTGACCACAAATAGGTTACCTGTAGCAAGACTACAGTGCTCACGTAACTACTGTTACATGGTAAGAATTATAAACTTACATCGCTCCTCCTCTATATGAACCGTACAATCCACAAAAAATCTTCGATACCAAGCAGTATCGGGCAGAAAACATCACCACACGGTTTCCTAAGCTTCATGGATAAAAGTCCTTTCATAAACGTTTTTAGTCGGTTGGCCCACATTACCTGAGCCGCTAAAACAACAACGCACAAACAGATTTATGCGCGTTTGCTGTCCTTGTTACCTGGTCCACGAAACACTGAGAAATAAGATATAAAAAACTTAAATACTCGAATGGATTCTACTGCTGACAGCTTAGACACATGCTAAACCAGGTGAAAACACAGTTCGAACCGAAGTACATGCGTGCATGCGAAGTCTGCATGAGCTTGTTATTAGCTGTCGAAGCTGTCGAAGCTGACTGTCAGACAATCAGGTCCGCCACAAATCCTTAAAGGGCTTCAGTCAAGAGGAAATGCACAGTGGATTGGTTTTTCAGGACCAATCACTTCTACCTGTAATACGGCTGCGCATCAGCCTATTGCGCAGCGGAACAATCATGTCAAACAGGGCCGTGCGATTACGCCTAAACGTCTGAATCACGTCCGATTTCATCATGTGCCGGAGAAAAGTCAAAAAGGGACACAGAAAGTTCACACCCACTCCATGGCCAAGGCACTCCATACATAAGCGCACAGGTGGCCATCTATTATCAACCGAGACGAAGGTTTATCTTCACTTCGAAGCTTAATCATGGCAGTCAGTTTCGAACAAATGCAAGCCCTACTGCAACAGCAACAAGCCCAGTTTGAAAAATCGCAAGCACAATTTCAAAAGTATCAAGCAAAGTTGATCGAGACATTGTCGCAAATTGTTTCAAAGCAGCCAACCGCAATAGCAGCAGCAACAGACAACGTTCCTTCACCTGAGATTCTGACGCAGCGAATCAATCAAGACCCTGGCAATCAAGGCAACGGTAATCAAAACGATGATCAACATGATTCAAACGGCAGCCAAGACAAAACAAGCAAAACTGCGGAAGCCTTGCTGGCTGACAATGATGCAGATGAATACGAGGAATACTACTCGTATAAAGAAGGCCACGTTGGAGCCCACCAGCAGACTTCAAGCAAGCTAGAGAAGCTGGATGTTGACGCCAAAGATTTGTCTTCGCCAGCAAAAACAGTAACTGCTTTCCATTCACAAAAATACGAGCTGAAATGTTACTCCTGAATGAAAGCCTGGATAAGCAGGTTACTAGAAGATCGTCCATGCGTTTGCGCTGGAACTCACTTACGGGATATCCTCGTCAGTAGCTCCAGGAAGGAAGTTTCACCCACCCACTAAAAAGCCGAAGCTTTTATACCTGTCTGAGAAAAGAGATTGTGTTTGAAGGTTTGCAGTGCCACATTTTAGTATTAATTAACAAGCATTGTTAATCTTGCTAAGAAACGCCCTACCTACGAAAGGTATGGAAATAGTGGGTAAGGAAGGAGACAACCAAGGAATGCCTGACTGTCATGCGACTACATGAGAGGAACCGGCATTACAGGTTACTTGAGTGAAGTATACAAATCCATGCTGCATCATAAACAAGAGTCCCGGATGTGACTTAAGATGAAATCGAAAGTTTTTGGCGATAAATACGTTCACGAGTACCGGTTCACATGGTCCATAAAATAAAACGGCAGCATTTGTACCAAGTACGTCTAAGGCAACTGCAGGTATTTCGACCACTTTTCCAAAAACTCACGTCATAATAATGAAGAACTGGTTTAGATGCTTGCATCAACTCACGGACGACTGTGGACATGCCTGCCTTCTAAAACCTCCAAGTTTTAGCTGATTTTTTCTTCTGGGTGGCTTATGGGAGGGCCTTGATGGTCACAAGTATACCAAGTATATCAAGAATTCCAGAATTTTGACCTTTTTTTAAATACACCTTTGCCTTTTACTCTCCTAAAATAACATCTGAGAGGTACACTACCAAAAGGCTAAGGTAATGGAGGGCAGAACGGTGAGATTTAGCTCGAAGTAGCTCATCATTGTGGCAATCCTCGAAGAAATTGAAGTACCCGCAAAATGTACGAAGAAGTGCTGTGTTTTCACTTTGGACTGGTGAAGTTTTTCGGGTGCTTGCTTTCTTCCTGAGAGTGCATTTTTCTTACGGTAGTAACAGTCTTTCTTAGCAATGTTACGTTTTAAAAAAAGCTTACGGATAGATCATTAACAGTATAGGTTTCGTACCGGTGAGTCTGCACAGCCCAATTTTGACTTATCAGCAGGTACTAGAAGGTGGACTTCTTAACCTTTAACAAACAAATAAATCTTACCTAACACTCTTTTGAATGCAAATACAGGAAGTGAAGTTGCTTTGATGTCAGAAGGGCTCTAAAATGTGGGTTGCTTGTCCGTTTGGAGATTAAGATCTAAGCTACCTTTCCTGCCGAAAACTTTCACATGTGTCTAAGTAAACAGGAGGAAAAACAAAGGAAAGCGAATAAGGGTAGTGCTCACCACCATTATTCACACGGGTTCCTTCAGGGCTTCCAAATCATGCCTATTGGAGAGCACATAATCTGCAAAAAGAAACGTCGCTGGAACAACTGATGCTCTCACTCAAATAGCAAATAAACAGCATGTTTGTAGGAATGAGTGTGTGCACTAAATTTCGCTACATTCATAGACGTGCTAGCCCCGCAGTGTCCCTACATATGCAAATAAGTTGACTTCCACCAACTCTTGTTGACCTTAGTTGAAGTGACAATCCTAAAAGTACCCCCATGTGGAGCATAGGAAAATTAACTCTAACCATTTACCCACGAACCAAATGCACAACCTAGCAAGATGGTGATAACAACTAGCTTCCAAATTTCTATACGGGATCGAAACTGAGACAACTACTTCATCATTTAGGTTACTCGGATTTAGAGAACTTCTAGATAAAATGGTAGTGCTTACTGTATCAAAGAGAAATAATCATACAGCTTACATGAATTGGATTTGTAACCGAAATTTTCCTCCTTCCGAGAACAAACCTCGACAAAAATCAGAGAGCAGGAGATTCGAACCAGATTTTAACCCCCCAGAGATCATGCAGAGCTTTTATTGGCTTAAATAATCATTCGAAGCCAGCTTCGGTCTTATGCTTATACCTCACAGAATCCAAAGGTCACCACCTACTAAAGCACATTCCAGCTTAACAGTGACGCAATTTCTCTAGCTTATTCAACACCACAGGGTAAAATTCTATTCCAAATAATGGAATGATAAAAGGTAGAAGTACGTAAGCCACTCCATTTTATCGCATTACTTCTTGGCTCTGATCGATATTCTGCTTAGCTGCAGTCTGTTTGCTTTAGTACTGTTGAATAAACGTACTTAGAATAAGGCTAGATTGATTTCACGTCTTTTGAACCTTCAGTGATAAAAACTGATCGTCGTTTTGTCAGACTACTTACACGAGGTACCGGTGGAGTTGGTGCTCAACGTTAAAAGTGCGAGTGGTAGGCGAGTGAGTGCAGTCAGTTAGGACAGTCAGTTGTCCGTTTGAACCTAATTTACTGCACCGCCACAAGAATTGCGAGCTGGATCAGGCAAAAGTCAGCACATCAAGTCATACCGTCATAGAGGTAGGCGGATGCTAAAGTAATCGTAGCAACAGATGCTGTACTGTTTGTTTCAATAACGGATGGAAAAGCCTGGATTCCCTTAGTCCGTGGTTGGACCAGCTAGCCTAATACGAAGTGTAAAGCGAAAAGTGCGCAAAATTTCCCACCACGTTGTTGTCAGTTTGAGGCTGTTTTCATAGCCATTTGTGGCTGATGTACGCCTTGAAGATAAACGCATTAAGCCAACCGTGGAGAAGAAAGACTAGTGAGGTTAAATTCTGGTTTTCACTCTTTTCTGACTTGACAGTCAGTTGGAGGACCTCGTTCTGTAATTGCGTGAGATTTTTTTTAGGATTTAATCAATCGCCTTTTCTGGAGTGCAGCATTCACTCTATATGTGAGCTTTCTTATGCTGTTTATCTGAGATTTTGCGGGTAAAGCATTGATAAAATACGACACTGCATGCACTTGTGGTGTAAAATAACAGTCTAGACCGGGTCAAGATATATAGAAACGTATAACTTCGATAGAGATAAATATCTATTAGGTTCCGATAGATGATAACTATCATAAACCGACTGATGGGTTCGCGATCAACGCATCCCGAAGTCAGAATCGAATTTCGCATTGCTTCGAACATCCATCACACTATTGAAACTCATTAGCAGGTCAGTACGTCTGATGAACTCTTTGTTTAAGACAGTCTTTCTGGTCTGTAGTTAACTCGAAAAGCTACGAAAACGGCTAATAAAAAAGTGGAGTCACGTAAACATCCTACTCCGAAAACACAAAACCTGACGACTGCAATAATTTTCAAATTCAGTTAATAACAGACCGGTAGAAACGCACCGGCTACTGTACAAAATAACCTCAGCAAACAAGAGTGGATTGACTTGTCTTGATCAAATATTTACAGCCTGCCTAGGTAATATGCAGACAGAGATAAACAAACAGAACCTTCGGTATACACCATTATAAGGAGTTTTTAAGGTCTCACGAAGTCGTGGATATGCAAACGGTTGGCCGATCGAAACCTCAATAACAGAAAGGTAGTGGTTATTGATGCGTCCGACTTTACGAGTTTTCTATAGAGTAGTTCCTGTCACTTGTGGAACGTTGTGGAATGCGGGTCTCGACAGACAGAGTTTCCTATGCAAAAAATATTACTGTGACCGCTGTCATCACAAGCATACAAAATACGAAGCATAAGGTTAAACAAAGAGTTACTGTTGGCTTTATCTGCGCACGTTTTTAACTTTGTTGCCTCAGACTTTAGGATGAGTGCAAAGCGGAACATTATTCCTTGTAACTCGACTATCATACAGAATTGTATGTAAAAAGGGTCCGTTTGCTTAAATGAAAAATGCTTGTCTTACTGGTCGGGCTTCTACACTACAATGAATCCAACAGTCATAGTGACCAGAACTTTCATTCACCAGAAAAGACAGTGGTTCAGAGACAGATCAAAAATCACATTATAGGGCAGATAAGGGGTAGAGTCGCGTTATTTACTGTGAGGATGGTATGTTTCTAATTTGAGCAGGCAGCGATACGAACTACTGTCGAAACACCTTTAAAAGACAAGAATCCGTTGCAGCGAAAATCCTCCCCGCTACAAGCAGCTGTTTAGAATGCAAAATAGCTTCTAAACAGGCAGCTACAGGTTAGTTCGGCTTTATAGGGTCAATTTGGTCACATCTTTGGCCGTAGACCCAGGCAGCTTTCTCCAAAAAATCGTGCCACCCGATGTCATGTGAGCCACGCCGTTATAGTGAACTCTTAAGATGGGATCCATAAATCCAACTCATATTTACAGTATGGACAGCTTAAAACTGAATCGATCCTGAAAACCGAAAATCAACAATAAGGCAACTTGCGAAAGCAGAGCAATCACCTAGACACCTCATCTACGAACGCGTACTATGCGAGTCGCAAAAGATAAAGGAGTGGTGGAGGACATTTAGCAATAAGATCCATAACCGTTGAAGTAGTGACATTGCAGTGGCAAGTAAGGCCAGGCTAACGAAAGACAAAAGCTTTCCGAAGCAAAAGCCGGACCCACTCTCTCATGGACAGATGTGTTGAAAAACAGCCTATGAAAACTTGTTGTCGGACTTGTCATCACTGGTGGCGTGTTCCCGAAAATCATTATTGGACCAAAGTGCGTCAACACAAAGCTGCATAAGTTTTGATGTTTTTGAGCGCATTGGCACCCACAATTTCCGGTCGTGAGAAAGCAAACAGCAGATTCAACAGTCGACCAGTTTCATACATATCATTGAATTTTGTGGTAGATGGTCACAAATATGGTGTTGGGTTGATGAGTGACAAGGAACAAATTATTTTATTTGTGTGTGCAGCTCTGAAATCAACAATTCTGGAAGAGCCTGTATAGCCCGTACATTCACCCAATGATTAAGAAGCGATATCTAATTGGCCATGTAGCTGTCCAGGAAGAAAAATTAAAGATTTTGATCACCAGAGGGAGATGAGGCACGCAGATAAACAACACATCGTATAATGCACCATCAGGGGAACTAACATTTTAAGAAGTTGAATGTTCAAAGAACCCAAAGACCGTGTAATTCTGGCGGTATGAAGCCACAAAGGTGAAGAGAAATG